CCACACCGAAGGCAAATGCAGGCACTCAAACGGCCTCCTAGGCAGATCTGGAAATGCACGAGTGGCCCGTAAACCCCTGAATCCTCCGCACACGTTCCTTCCTGCTCCACTGGATAGAGGTCCCGGCCATGCCATTCTACTGTCACTGCTGGGACTGGACCCATACGGAAGCCTGCCCAGGCCGAGCACCAGAAAGTCCAGAAGCAGCATTGCAGCACTGAGAAGGGGATGAGGCAAGGCTCAGGGCAAGCACGGGCCGCTCATGCCAGCTGCTGTGAGCAGCGCTGTGTGGCCTTGATACACCAGCCTGCCCCGTCCGGCGCCTGGTTCCCTGTGGGCAGGGTGGGGAGGGAGCCCACCTTGGGCCTGGTCTTCCCTTACCCCCACCCCTGACTTTTCCTCATCTCTGTGGTATCTGCCAGATCGAAAGTGGATTCTTCATTCCATTCAGCTTTTATTCTACCCTGCTAAGCATGATTAGGTAGGGAATGGTGTCCATCAGTTTTTGCCTTGCAAGAGAGGTCTGTGAGCCAAAAAAGTTTGCATTACTTCTTTTTAAAAAATGTTCTGCATCAGGAAAAAACAGAACCACACAGCCCCTGAGATGTCACTGTACTTTTCTCACGCCTCATTTGTTTCTCTGGGGTGAATGCTGCCACCCTAAAAGGATGTCCTCTGGCCCTCACTGCAAACCCTTTCTGCTTTGTGCTCAGTAGCATTATTTTCCCCCTTCAATAGGATTTTCTACATTCTTCTTTGTATGGTGACCTCCCCGAGGGAGGGACTGTCTCATTTATCTCTGCAGCTGCTCCGTGATCAGCAGAGTACTGTAGCCTGCCGCTGAGGTGGTGCATGACAGCAGTTTGTTATTGGTAAATGGGGAAACCCTGGTGGCATAGTGGTTACGAGTTCAGCTGCTAGCCAAAAGGTCGGCAGTTTGAGTCCACCAGGCGCTCCTTGGGAAACCCCATGGGTAGTCATCTCTCCAGTAGACTGTAGTGATAAATAAGACGGTGCACATTTATCACTGCCTCTTCATGGCACCTTGCACAGTGATCTGCACTTCTTGTTGCTGTGTGCCGTCAAGTTGATTCCAACTCAGCCACCCTATAGGACAGAGCAGAACTGCCCCATAGGGTTTTCTAGGCGGTACTCTTTACAGAAGCAGGTTGCCAGGTCTTTTTTCCTGCAGAGCCGCTGGTGGATTGGAACCACTGACCTTTCGGCTAGCAGCTGAGCACTTAACGATCGCACCACCAGGGATCCTAGATCTGTACATAGCAGGTGAATACAACAAAGGAAACCTTCCCTTTTCTAACTACCCAAACCAAAACCCAGTGCCACTGAGTTGATTCCAACAGTCTACCTAAGTACTTTACCTTTTGGAAGAGAATAAGTGGATAGAGGATCCCTGGTGGCGCAGTGGTTAAGAGCTCGGCTGCAAACCAAAAGGTGGGCCATTCGACTCCACCAGGCAGTCCTTGGAAAACCTATGCGGCAGTTCTACTCTGTTCTATAGGGTTGCTATGAGTCAGAATCTACTGAACAGCAATGGGTAAGTGGATGGTAAGCTCCGTGAGGTTAGGGCACAGCCCAGAGGACAGATGGTAGATGAATCTGGAGGCCTAGATATAATTTGGTTTTACCTCTGCCTTGCTTGCATGGGGAAACCCTGGTGGCGTAGTGGTTAAATGCTATGGCTGCTAACCAAAAGGTCAGCAGTTTGAATCCACCAGGTGCTCCTTGGAAACTCAACGGGGCAGTTCTACTCTGTCCTTCAGGGTCACTATGAGTCGGAATTGACTCGATGGCAATGGGTTTTTTTTTCTTTTTTTTTTTGCTTGCATGGGTCCCCTTGTTTTCCTTTCAAGACGCTGGGGACAGATAATAAAAGTAATGGCTACAAAAACACTTCGAAAAAGTTTAAAGCATTATACGGACACGAGGTGTTATTACTTCCTTTACGAGTTCCAATAGCAAAAAAAATTATAATGAACATTTAGAGAATGTTGTTGGCTATTAGTGTTAAATACTGTTTACTCCCCCAGTTAAGCAGGCCATGATAGTCGTGTGCCACTTTCCCGCAGGTATGAATTAGGAGCTGCTCTTTTCATTGGATGGGCGGGAGCCTCACTCTGCATAATTGGTGGCGTCATATTTTGCTTCTCAATATCTGACAACAACACCAAAACACCCAGGTATGAAAACAAAAACCACCTGTTAGAAAATACAATGCCATTCTCAATTATCACACGGAGAACAAAGTACGCAGTTCGTAAGATTCTTCGAACACTCAAAACCCCAGAATTGGGAAGTGTTAGGAATACAGTTAATAAACACAAAAGGGAGAGAAAAAAACCAGCGTATCATTATGTTCTAAAGCTGGTTCTACGAGTAGAAACTTCATTTGAAAACCAGAATGTTGTTCTACTAAACATCAGTTGTGAGGGATACGGGCCCTAGGGAAAGCAGAATCCCAAAATCAATGACTGCCTGAAAAACACAGGTCTAAAGATGATGGCGTATTCTTCACTGTGGAATCCCTGGGAGGTGAAATGGTTAACATGCTCAGCTGCTAACCAGTAGGTTGGAGGTTCGAGTCCACCCAGAGGCACCTCAGAAGAAAGGCCTGGCAGTCTACTTCCCAAAAATCAGCCATTCGAAACCCTATGGAGTACAGTTCTACTCCGACTCAAATGGGGTCGACATGAGTTGGAATCTAGACAGCAACTGGTTTTTTTTTTTTTAATTCTTCACCATGGCCTCATCATCATTTCACATAGGCAGAAATTGTTGATGAAGGCTACTACAAGTCCCCTCCGTTCCAGGAAGATGAGTTTTAAAAAACAGTTTTGAAAAAGAATGACCCAACAGATGAACAAGCCACAGGTTTCTTCTGCAAGGATTATCTTTGTCACTCAAACTGGAGAGGACAATGAAATACTTCTTAGGCTGAGGGGAGCAAGGAAAGCTAACTCAAATCAGGGGAAGATTGAAACTTAGCTATTTACAGAACTAGGGGAAATGGGTTCCTTCCCCTTTTTATTTGCCGCAACTGTGGGATATAATCTGCCAACTGTTTTTTGCCTTTCAGAATGGGATATACATACAACGGGGCCACGTCAGTCCTGTCTTCTCGGACAAAGTATCATGGTGGAGAAGATTTTAAAACCACAAACCCTCCCAAACAGTTCGATAAAAATGCTTATGTCTAAAAGAGCACCGCTGTGAGCTGGATCTTGAGTGTTATTAAAAGTGAACTGTTCACAAAATGATTCCATCAAGGTCCTCCTATAATTAACACTTAAACTATTTTTAAAATAGGAATTGGAAGAATTTTGATCGTGTGGATGTGAATGTTCTTGTATACTAATCATTTTTCTGTTGTGGCTTTCTATAAAAAATAAACAGGTTATTTACAAGATTTGTATATATTTTATACAGTTTTAGAGCATGTATTTAGTACCAAAGTTTCAGGAAGTATTCGTCATGTCGTAGCTTTCTTACTCATTGATACATTGAAACTTTGTCCCACTTCTGTAGGTTGCTTTTAATTCATATATTAAACTGAAGGTATGTAAGGAGTGGAGTCCTGTAACAGTGTGAGGGCAATCTCAGACTTCCTCAAAATGTGTTCAGGTTAAATGGACGTATTCCTGGCTGTGTAGAGTCTCCTAGTTTCTTCCTCTCTGGCACGACTGTAACTCGCTATGACAAGTGCTGAAGGAAAGGGTCAGGGGGCCAAGATGTTTTGCTTTTCTACCTTACACTCCTTCCTTAAGTAACTGCTTCGGCTTCTCTGACACAGAAAGCAGAGTCCTGAGGTAGAACTGAACTCAGCTAAGGACACTGGGAATGGTTGGTGTTGGAACCCACAGAAGAAATCCCGGAGTCCGTGTGGTACCTTCCTCACTCAGAACTGCTGGGCTGAGTTCCAGCATGTCTCTCACATCCTGTGTATGGAACTGGGTCATTGAGACACGCCATTTTTCCGGTGTTGGAAGTTGCTCCAGTGATTTCTGAACCAAGAAAAAATGGAATCCTAGAGCCAGCCCTTTTAGATGACCATGTGCATAAAGCTGACAGTAGTCACAGTTAACACAGCACCATGCCAAACACTTTACACACCTCAGCTCGCTTAATCTTCACAGCCACCTATGAAGTAAATATTATTACTATCTTGAATTTACAGATGAGGAAATTAAAGCTGAGAGTTTAGGTAACTTGCTTCGATGAGTGACAAAACCAGGACTTCGATCTCAGGCACTTTGGATAAAATATAATTTCAAGCTTTGGCTACGACTTGGTATCTGTGCATGAGAAACCAGTATTGATCACAACATGGGTGACTATAACATTTTTCTGAAGCATCAAAGACTTAAAAGAAAATCATTGTTTTCTCTGTGAAAAGAAAAGGAAATGGACAAGTTTGTTGTTTAAAAAAAAAAAAGTCTGTAACATGGTAATACTTGAAATATCTTTTCCACAGATACAAATTGACTGGAAGACATAAAAGATAGGCCAGTGTGAGGGCAGGGTTGTGTGTGTGTTTTAAAAAAAATGTATTCAGAGCTGAGCTGGAGAAGGTGATTTCATTGAGGAGAAATACAAGGTAGTGGTCTAAAGAAAAATGAACAAGCCAACTCTATTATTAGTAGATAAAAAATTATAGCACTAAAGAGATAAATTGAATAGGCTTTTATTATTCAGAAATACTGACTTAATTTAAATTTAGGTTTACTTAGCAGAAGTTTATTCATTTCCCCAACCCTTTCCATTCAAGAATGCAGATATGGCAGACACAGAACTTGAATAGAGAACCTCATGTAAATGTCTTTGGCAAATTTTTTAAAAATAATTCTTAGTTTCTCACATTTTTTGGATGAGAATTTATAACAGTAACTATATCTCAAAGTTGTTCTAATTCAGGGAACTAATAATGCATATTAAGAAAAAAAAAAAAGCCTGGAACCAAGCAAGTAGCTCAAGAAATACCTGTTGAATAAATGATTGAAAGAGTGAATCAGTGAATCAAGTGGCCCCTGTGCCATCTTAGGCATATGTGTCATTGCTTGTCTGTCCTACTCGATGACAATCTGATTTGGTGTTTATGAATGCTTTTAGAAACACACATATAAAGTGAGCACATTTGCATAAAATGGCCCCTACGGGAAGCGAGAACAGTTTTTTAAAGGGTAGGGAAAGGCTACAAATAAACAAGATTCTGGAAGAGGAAGAAACAGATATTCATTCTAACATTAGTTGGGATGTTATATGGCACAAATATGCCAAGGCAAGCTTCTTGTTTGGTACTTCCCCTAATAAATACAAATTTCACTCAGACATCAATCTCCAGACACCTTTGTCAGAATCTCGAATAACTCAGCCGCAGTCAAAATGATGTAATGGAGGGCTTTACTTGAGAGGTTCACAAAAGAAAGAGAGATCCAAAACCCAACAGATGTTACTTTTAGTTAAAATGTTACTTTTTTGGAAACAGTACAGATAGTACCACAAAGTTTAAAAATGCAAAAACATTTTATATGAATTTTCTGACCTTTGACAATGGCATTGTTCAAGAACATAGCTAAATTAGTTTTAAGGTATTTTATAATATGGATTGGGCATTTAAAAAAGTTTAAAAAAGAAAAAAACTGCATACACATACGAATTCAGTAATGACTCAATCTTTTCTACTCATATTCTGATAAACTGGCATTTAAAATGGCTACGTTTTATTCATAAAATATCCACGGTAAGGATTATTCTGCTTGAAATAGGATTTTAAGTTTTAAAATAATCGTTTTAATAGCAACATGCTTAACAGTGGCTCAGTGCTGCCTATGATGACAGTACCTCAGGAAAACGTGTTTAAAACGGGCCTAGCTATACTGTTAAAATTGTAAACTTCTATATGAAAATAACCAGTCTACTCCCAAGCTTTCACTGATTCTGCTAATTCAATTGTAAAGATACTAACAGAATTTTACAACACTTATAATTTTATATGTGGCAACTTATATAAGAAAGTAGATATTTTTAAAAAAGCTTTAATATTTCCAAACCAAAACCTGCTACAAGTTGAAAAAAAAATTTCACTTAAAAATTAGTTGAAGAAAACACTTAACACTAGAGTACCGTTCTGAAGAAAGAACTTTTTATGACTTCAGTGACACGTTATTTTTGAGCAGCAGAAGACTTAAACACCTTTATCTGCTTCAAAATACTGCTGACAGTTTGTTTTTCAGTACTGTATTGATGCCATTAAAGAGAGTCGTGTTCTCTGAATCGGCTTCCTTGTTCTTGTGGGAGAAATACTGTAGGGCATGAGCTTAGTCCTGTAGGCAGGCCAGTGAAATCCTGGGAGACTGCAATACTGCTGTCTTCTGAAAGAACCTTCTGACGCTCGGGATTTTAGTTACACATCTGAGGAGTCACTCCAGTCAGTCACAGTTACTAAGCTGCTTTTTAATGTGCTTGATTCATTTTCTTGAAGGCCTGTTGGGGGAGAGAGAGGAGGAGGAAGAGAAGGCCCCATGGTTAAACAAGCACACCAACAAGCCTGTAAAAATCTGTAATTTTGCATTCCAACCTATTACTCTGTGCCTGAGTCTGTTCATTAACCCCGCTCCCCAGCCCCCACAAGCTGGGGAGGCTTTCATAGTAAGGAGGTGGCTATAAAATCTGGCCACGAAGCGGACGCATCTCTAGGACGCCATGACAGGCAGGACCCTGCAGCCTACACGTGCTCCTTCCCCAGCACTCAGCACGGGGCCTGAATGCTGAACATGCTCAACCCCTTTAGTTGTTCTTGTTACTGACTCTGGGTGAATCAATGGTGAAAGGAGAGGAGAATAAAACTGACTGGCCAAGCAGGGATGAAGTGCTGATAGACTTTGTAGGGTGGATGGACTTAAATATGAAGCTCATGAAAAAGTGCCATGATTGCAAGCCACTGAAACAGTGCCGTGTGGAGAATTCCCTTGAGTTGGTCTCTAGGAATGCTTCCTTTGAGGGACACGGGGTCCTGGCACTGGGGGAGGAGACATGTACTTGGGGCATGCTCTCGGCCCTGTGCACTGACAAATTCAATGTGATGGAAACATGGTTTTTTGGTTTTCAAACTATTAGAATCAACCTTTAGACCCAGCACACACAACTTAATGATGGTTACAGAACAGAAGGTAAATGTCATAGTTTGGCAATGTACATGTAAAGGCCAGCCCACATTCTCGTGGGGGAAGTGGAGGGGAGAGGCAGGAACCGCTTCATCTACAAATAGGGCAGGCGGCGAGAGATACCACTGAAATGGAGAGCAGACACAGAGACTTCCATGCATTAATTTAAAATTGCAAAGAGAGGCACAGAAGTAAGAGGGGGAATGAGAGGTGTAGCGGGTGGTGAAAATGAACCAAATCCTCATCTATCTTAGCAGGACATCAATGGGACAGTGTCCAAAGCTGATGACTCAAGAAACAGCAGTAGAAGTGCACTACTCAGAAACATGGAGGTGCCCACCAGAAGCACTGCTGTATTTTTATGTAAATAACACGAACGTTTGTTTGCCAACCATACCTTCTCCAGCAAGGTATTTTCATAAGCACAGCTATGTCAGTTTGTTTTTACATGTTGCTGTAAAAAAAATTAGCATAGCACGCTTACAAAAATACCTGGAGTGGCGAGGGCTCAATTGGCAAATAAACATAGAAAACGCGTGCTATTTGCATAAAATACAGTAACACAGAACTGACGAAAGGCAGTGCAGGTGGTGAGAGGGGGCACAGAGCAGCCCTTCTGTACAACTTGACTTTCGCCATGTGCAGGAATTACTTTGATCAAAATAGAAACTCTATATATTTTTTATTTTAAAAATTAAGTGTATTAAGAATTAAGCTACTACACTTATCCAGGCTCTTCACTAGGTAGAAGGAGCCCTGGTGGCACAACAGTTAAGCGCTCAGATGCTAACTGAAAGGTCGGCAGTTCAAACCCGCCCAGTGGCTCTGAGGGAAAAAGACTTGGTGATCTGCTCCTGTAAAGATCACAGCCTAGGAAACCCTATGGCGCAGTTCTACTCTGTCCTATAGGGTTGCTACGAATCAGAATTGACTCAGTTGCCCCTAACAACAACACCACAGTACGTGGATGGCAACCATCTGAACTAATTGTTTCATTTGTAATTAATCCCATTGGCTACAAAGCTACAAGGAAAACCCTCCTCGGAAAGGTAAGAAAACATTCAATATGTAAACAGATTAATACATGAGAACTGTAAGAAGAACAGTCTCATTCAACAACAAGATCTGATATTTTCATTTCTTTGGGGCACCTGCATGAATAGAGGATGTGTATGGGCATTTTCAAAAATAATATAAGGACATTTTTAATGACTAAAGATGAAGCCTAACATTGAGCAAAAATAGTCAGTAAATAATAAAAGTCAGTAAGTGGTACATATTTGGTACTTATTTTAAAATAATATAAAAAGGCATCAAGCTCTTTGTTATGCCAATAATGTTTCTGTCTGATGATATGTTAACATGGCTTAAGTATGTATTTATGAAGATAAAATGCAAATAATTGGAGAGGGACTGAGCTTTTTTACTAGACACTAAAGCAGCGAAGGAGCCCTGCTGGTGCAGTGGTTAAGAGCTCGGAGGCTAACCAAAAGGTTGGCAGTTCAAATCCACCAACTGCTTCCTGAAAACCCTATGGGGCAGTTCCACTCTGCCTATAGGGTTGCTGTGAGTCAGAACCGACTCGATGGTACCCAATAACAACGAAGCAGCCAACCTTCTCCCTTTGGCTCGTTAGGATTAGATGCACCCCATGCACTTGCAACGTGGGTTGAATTCGGTTCGTTCTTCACGACTGGAGGTTCCTTCCGGTCTTTCTCAGTTCTTTTCCCCAAAGATTTTTCTTCCTCTAAAGATGATATGTCCCAGTCATCATCATCCACATCTGCACACTAAAGGAAGCACATGGGAAATAACGTTTCTTAAACAAGAAGCACGCATTAGAAGTCACAATTATTTTGTTGGTTAGACTGAGCAGCTGACACTGAATGATAAGGACAGAAGTTGGGAACCTCAGAGGATCCCAAATCTGGTCACTTCTGCGGGGCGATGATGAAATGGCTGTAGAAGTATGAGTTTTAAAAGCAGAGGAAACCACCTCTTTTTCGTTCCTTGCCACGGAAATGGATGTTTCCTGCTCTACCAATCATGAATTTAGGAAATTCCAAAACCAGTCCATTGTAAGCGTCTGAAACTGAAAGATAAGGGTGCTCCCCAAGCAAGGGCTGGGCTGGCTCTGGGGCTCTTTGACCTCTGTGATAATGGAACATCTAACCACAGGATAAATCACAAAAATTCAAAACCAAACCCACTGCCATTGAGTCGATTCCGACTCATAGCGACCCTACTGGACAGAGTAGAACTGTCCCATAGGGCTTCCAAGGAACAGCTGGTAGATTCGAACCACTGTGTATAGATAGGAAGTATTATTACAAGTTACTGCTCCAGTATCTTTGATGGAACAGGAAAAAATGCAATACTAAAAACAACATGAGGTAAAAATCTCCACCTCAGCCATAGTGAGTACTTAGATTTGTTTTTAATCTCACTATGAAAAACACAACTCTTAAAACACATTCATCAAAAGATGAATTTATCCATGGATATTTAGCAAGTAAAAGTGATTTCACCTTTAGTTCTTCTTGTACTTCTTTTTTGATGAATGCTTCAGCAACATTAATTCCACCAAACGGTTTATTAACATTTCTGGGATTTGAAACCGTCTTTTCAACTTTTTCAGTTAGGGTTTTAATGGAAGTTCCTATACAACAATAAAAATAAGTCGGTTAAGGTTTTTTAAAAATTGTAGCTATCTTCAGTTCTAAAATAACCTTGACAGCCAACTTTGAAAGAGTCTAAACTTTGCAAATAATTATGTATTATTACAGTAAAATCAAATTGACATATTTTAGGGTTGAAAACAAAGTTACACTACACACTTATGCTTCCTTAAAAATCATAATCCTGACCACAGCTACCAGAGCCTCCACCAGACTGAGTCCGTTGCAACTAGATGGTGCCCGGCTACCACCACTGACTGCTCTGATAAAGATCACAAGAGAGGGTCCCTGACAGAGCTGGAGAAAAATGTAGAACAAAATCCTAACTCACAAAAAAAGACCAGACTTACTGGCTTGACAGACACTGGAGAAACTCCGAGAGAATGGCCCCCGGACACCCTTTTAGCTCAGTAATGAAGTCACTCCTGAGGTTCACCCTTCAGCCAAAGATTAGACAGGCCCATAAAACAAAACAAGACTAAATGGGCACACCAGCCTGGGGGCAAGGATGAGAAGGCAAGAGGGGACAGGAAAGATGGTAACGGGGAACCCAAGGTCAAGAAGCAGGGAGTACTGACATGTTGCAGGGTTGGCAACCAAGGTCACAAAACAATATGTGTATTAATAGTTTAATGAGAAGTTAATTTTCTCTGTAAACCTTCATCTAAAGTACAATTTAAAAAAAAAAACAGAAAAAAGTTATAATCCTTCAAACTTGGAGCTATAAAACATTTATTTTAAATCAAAGAAGAGCCTCATTCAAGTATGTGACCAGAAACTTTCATTTCAGTGAGGAAACCTGCATGAATAGAATATTCATGTATTTCTAAAAATAACATTTATTGTTTTTAAATGAATTAGTTATATTTTATGGAATTATATAAATACGTGGTATATAAAATTATAGAAAATAAAATAAACTGATTACATCTCATATGTTTAAAATACCTAATTTAAAAATTGCATTCAACAGTATTTCTTTGGTCCCACTTCTCTCAAGCAAATTATCAGCAACAGTCACAAACCTGGACCTTGTCTTCCTTTACAATTATCCCGTCTCCAAAAGACAGCATAGTGTATTAGAACAGTGAGAATGACTGAATGACCCAGGCATCTCCAGCTGTGGTCAGCACAGAAGGGAGGGTCTTGGACTTACTCACATGTGGACATTATTCATATGCCCCTCCCACACAGACATTCAAACACAAACCCTGCAGCCACCCCTTGTATCTTGGCATGTGCACACCAGCAGTGCAGCGTGCTTTGGGGGAGCTGACCCAGGGAAGAAGCTGGCACAGGTCCTGGAAGTCAGTTTGGAACCATTTGGGGGAAAAGATTCTCTAGTCTTATGACCTGGAGAGTGATCTCGACAGGGGTTGGCAAGCTACGGCACCTGGGTCAAAACCCACCCACCATCTGTTTTTTTGGAAAAGGAAGACCAAAGAAGAATTGATGCCTTTGAATTGTGGTGTTGGCGAAGAATACTGAATATACCATGGGCTGCCAGAAGAACGAACAAATCTGTCTTGGAAGAAGTGCAGATAGAATTCTCCTTAGAAGGGAGGATGGCAAGACTTCATCTCATGTACTTTGGACATGTTATCAGGAGGGACCAGTCCCTGGAGAAGGACATCATGCTTGGTGAAGTAGAGGGTCAGGGAAAGAGAGGAAAAAGAGGAAGACCCTCAAGAGATGGACGGACACAGTGGCTGCAACAACGGGCCCAAGCGTAACAACGACTGTGAGGACGGCGCAGGCCTGGGCAGCGGTTCACTGAGTTGGAACCAACTCAACGGCATGTAACAACAGCAACGTCTGTTTTTGTAAATAAAATCACGGCCACCACCAGTCATTTATGTGTCATCTCTGACTGCTTTCCCACGATGATGGAGTTGACAGGTGCGACAGAGACGATATTGCCCATAAAGCTAAAGTATCTATTATTTGGTCCTTTCCGGAGGAAGTTTTGCCAACCCTGATCTAGAAGGAGCGGTGGGCGTGGGCATGTCCTCTTGATGCAGCAGACGCCCCGCCCTCAGATCGGTGCCCTGTGATGTGTAAGCCAGAGTCCCCTCTTAATGGGTCCAAGAGAGGTGCTGTGTAGGGACCTTGCTCTGCATTCCATTTTCCCACCTTCCTCATTAAAAACACCCATCTTTGACTCTCACGTCATCAAACTATACCCTATGTATTGCAATAAGTCAGCTATTACTCAAAGTCACCCTCATCACTCCGGGTTCACAGTCATACTTGCCAACCCTATTTCTGTCATAATTCTTCCTATTTTATGGAGAAAACAGAAGCAATAGGAGGAAAACTTCCCCAAGCCCCTGTATGATCACTTCTCCCTCTCTATTGGCTTTCATCAACGAATGCTCACGTCTCTCCCACCTTAAAAAATAAGGAGCAACCACTGCCTCTTCTCCCTTTGTGTCACAGTAACTTCTAGAATGGGCTGTCCTTACTTTCTGTCTCTAGTTCCTCCATTTCTGTCCCACCACTCCACTGAAATGGCTCTTGCCAAACTCAGTCCTTATCTCTGGCCACTTACAACCTTGCTGGCCATTATCCTTTCCATGATAACTCTCTGGCCTGCGTTTCCTGCTACATCTGTGGCTCCTCCTTTGTATTCTCCTTCAGTGTTGTAGTTAGTGGGGGCTCTGTCCCCAGGCCCCTGAACAACCTCTTGCGGAGCAATGCTGCACAGCTCTAATTACTCTCTATAAGCTGGTGACTCTCAATCTATGTCTGTAGCCCAGTTCTCTCTCTCCCCCAAGGTCCTGACCCATTTACCCACTGCCTTCTGGATCTCTCCCTTTAGATAATTCAAAAGCACCTCAAATTCAACACATCCAAAACCAATGCCTCCTGTCTTCTAATGCTCCTCAGCTCAGCAAATGGCACCACCATGTACCCTGCTGCCCAATAAAGAAATTTCAAGGTCACTCCTCCCTACCATGTGCCCCAAATCTAATCAATCACTGAGCCCCATCAACGCAGGTCTATTCACTGCAGGTGTTCAGGCCACAATTATCTCCCTCCAGACTCATGGCGACAACTTCTCATCAGGACTTCTAACCCCAGTGCAAGGCTCTTTCAATCCATTCTCTTCACAAGGCTGCTCATGTTTCTCCCTTGCTTAGAACTCTTCGATGACTTGTTAAGATCAAGTACTATACCTTAGCACAGTCTCAATCTAGTCCTTGTTTACGTCTCTAGTTTCACTTCTCTCATTCTACGCTCTAGCCACCATACTCAACTTCTTCGATCCTACAAATAAGCTAGATTTGCTCTCTTCCCCTCCTAGACCTTCCCTGCTGGCCTGGTGAGAAGAAAGACTAGACAGAAACAGGGAGATCAGAAAGTTATTTCAATAGTCCAAGCTAGAGGGAATGAAGATATGAACTAGGTCAGAGACTGGAAGACTGGAAAGGAAGGGACGGTTGCAAGAGAACAGGTGAGAGAAGAGATTATGCACGTGTCCCCTTTATTACCAAATTGAACACCAGAGCTAAAAGCTGAAGGTTCTGGGGTTGCCTGAAGTTCAGGAGTGCTGGATGAAGGTGCTGACTTAGGCTCTTTGTCACCTCTTTGCCCCAAAACTCCATGCTGTATTCCAGTCATCCATGATGCCCTTGGTACTCAATAGGCCCCTCAGAATGCTGCAATGTCAGGGCACCAGGGGAGATAACGTTTGGAGAACAATAAATAGTTAACAACAGCTAAAGAACTGCCTTATAACCTGCCAACACTCACACTTCTTGTCTGAGGAAAAAAAAAAAAAAAAACATTGCTGTGGATTCCAACTCATAGCAACCTTACTGGACAGAGTACCATTGCCCCATACAGTCTCCAAGACTGTAAATCTTTATGGAAGCAGACTGCCACATCTTTCTCCTCTGAAGCAGCTGGTGGGTTCAAACTGCCAACCTTTCAGTTAGCTGCCGAGCTCCTTACCCCCTGCACCACCGGGGCTCTTTCATGTTTAAGAGAACCATTTAAAAACGTCAGCTAAAGATCTGTTACATTTAATTTTTCTTCCAGAAGGAAAAAAATTTTATGAATTATTTCATCCACCTTATAATCCAGAATCAGCGTTCCCAAAAGTGGCACTGTTGACACTTTGGGCCAGATAATTCTTTGCTGTGGGGGGCTGTCCTGTGCATTGAAAGAGGTTGAGCAGCATTCCTGGTCTCTACCCACTAGATTCCAGTAGCACCCTCCCAGCTGTGACAACTTCAGTTACTCTCTGTAAGCTGGTGACGCTCAAATCTATGTCTCCAGCCACTGCCAGATGTCCTATGGGGGGCAAAGTCGCACATCGTTGAGAACCCCTGTCCTACGTAAAGTTTCCAAAAGGATTTTCAATGAGAAAAGATCACCTGTGGGCTTGGGAGAGGCATCAGAATCCTCATTTTCACTTCCCTCAGTCCAGTCAGTATCACTCTTGGCAGTGTTCTTTCCAAAGCTACTCTTGTTGCTTCTCCATGGCCGCATAGGAAGTAATTCTGGGGACGTATATGCCTGTATGAGGTGGTCATCATCCAACTCCTCCTCGGAACTGAAGGGGGGAGTCCTACACAAAACCGAAACAGGTGGCGCTGTTTTCCTAAGTTTCAGGATTTACTAACTACTCTTCTCAAGTGGTCAGAACCTTCTCAGCTAATCCTCACAGAGCACGGCAAACAAACAGCCGTGTGGCCACAGGTAAGTTGGCGGCAGGTCCAAGAGTCATCCCACATCTGCCAACCATGTGGCGCACTGATCAAAATGTACGGAAGTCACGACGTTTCTCCTCTAATTCCATATTTGCATATCCTTAATAACCTTGGTTTTTACACACCTGAGAAAAACATTTCTCAATGGAAGAAAAACATTTTCCTCAATGAAACTATTCCACCTTTTAAAATAGTATTGTTACTTATAACTTACATTTACACTACATCTTACAAAGAGCTCGTATATATACACAATCTCATTTGATTTTTTTCAGTTACAAGGTAGGATATGCATTATCACCGCATTTAAAAATACCCAAAAGTTTATTAGGAGTAAAGCATTCATTTAATAAATATTTACTGGGCACTTAACTGCCAGATAATGTGTCAGTCTTTCAAACATTGATTAAGGTGTACGATGCCCCAGGAAATGAAGCTCTTCCGAGGAAATTATGCACATGAAAAGTGCTTCTGAAGGGTAAACCACTATTGATATCATCTCCACTATACAATGCCTCAGTGAAGAAACATTTGTGGCATCACTATGTCCAGAATAAGGCAGTGATGACAAAATTTAATCATGATGAAATTAATTTTTATTCATAATTAATAACAATAATGTACCTACAATTTAATGAGTACCCACTAAGTGCCAGGCACTGAGCCAAGCCCTTTTCATATATTCTCATTCAATTCTTGAAGTATCCTGTGAAAAAAAGCAGTATTATCCCCATACTACAGATAAGAAAACTGAGGCTTAAAACAGGTAAGCAACAAAATCAGTGGCATCCAGTTAAGGAGTGACTGAGCTAAAATTCTTAGTATCCTAAGAGACCCTAAGAAAGTAAGGTCCAGGGTCATTATCACGAAGGATTTAGAACACTATTCTCTCTAATGAACCGACATTATCATGGATTCAACCTTTAAAACGCAACCTCATTCATTTAATTTAAATGTGTTCACTGAGAAATTACTGGACTCTGGTGGTGGGGACAGAGAAATGACGCAGGTGTGATCTCACTGTTTGATGGAAACCACGTGATGAGCATTACTGACTTAAGTGATAACTGATACAGTAACAAAGGCATGTCACAAATAGCATTCACAAACACCATGACACAAAGTAGGAAATCACAAATTAATTGATAACATTTAATAATTATAGCTTTACCTAACCACAAGTGTGCTGATTTACAGTGATAAGAATGTTTAGGGAAAATAATTTTTTTTAATGGTCTTCCCCTCCCCGAGTACTCACGTCACAGCTGGAGGCTTTCTGGGAAAATGCTCTTCTATGATATTTTTCCTAATTCTAAAAAACAACAGAAAAACATTTCTAAACTGCCTGAGTGAATGATATAATTTAACATAAATTTCTGTGTAACTGGTAATTTTTGCTTCTAGCATATATTAACGAGGGAGAGGAGCATCGAAGATCTGCTGGTATCAACGAGAGGCTGGTAGGAATTGCGAGTGGGTCAAGGGTTAATAAGAGAATTTTAGGGTTAACAATACTCACTTTGGAACAGATGTCCTATCAGTAAAAACAGGTCTTTGTCTAACCAAATGTCTGCTTTTTGGAGGAAGCTGTACCGCTTTGGGGATTTCTCCAGTTGAAAAGGAATCCATTTGAGAGACACTGTACTTATCTGTAAAAGCAGTGTCATTCCTGAGTCCTCATTGCCTTTGTGATCAGTAAGTTAAAAGCAAAAGTAAATCATGCAATACTGTCTACACTACCATTGAAATAAACAAGCAAGTCTCTAGTTTAGAGTCTCGACTACAGGCTTTAAAAAAAAACAAAACCCCAAAATGTGGAAACAAAATCAAGACTTGATATTTAATAGTTCAAACAGTAAGGGAGTTGCCAATTAAGCAAAACTCACTTTTTATGTGAATCATTTAAAATTGTCAAAGAGTTGTTGAATTGCATGCACTCTCATCTGCAGAGATGGACTGGAAGTTGGTAACAGGCTTGCTCACCTGAAGACAGTAGCGTTCTCTCCTCAGTTTTACAGCTGACCTTACGTTCAAGAACTTCTCGGATTTGCTGAAAGTTAGGTATTTGTCTTTCTCTCTCCTGTCTTGCCGATTCCACCAATCTCAGCACTCTAGTCAAGTGATCGCTGGGGATACCTCGTATATCCTGAAGAAGTAAAACGTTAACCTAATTCATTATCGTGGGGATACCGCATATATCCTGAAGAAGTAAGACGTTAACCTAATCCATTATCGTGGGGATACCGCAAATATCCCGAAGAATTAAGACATTAACCTAACCCATTATCGTGGGGATACCGCGTATATCCCGAAGAAGTAAGACGTTAACCTAATCCATTATCGTGGGGATACCGCGAATATACCAAAGAAGTAACACGTTAACCTAATCCATTATCGTGGGGATACCGCATATATCCTAAAGAAGTAAGACGTTAACCTAATCCATTATCATGGGGACACCGCGAGTATACTGAAGAAGTTAAGACGTTAACCTAATCCATTATTGTGGGTTGTCTGTCACCTCATGGCACATGTCAGCATTAACTGTGCAAGCACTTCAGTCCATCCTCCCTGAGTTCCAGGTGCATGGAAGGAAGGTGGAGGACGCTTCAGCACATAACACACTGTTCTGGGCCAAAAGAAGCTCAGTGAGTTGGACACATGAGGCATGTGTATGACGGTATATGACTGGTTAGCCAACAGTGCAAGGCTGTGTGTCGTAAGGACCGAATAAGTCCACAAGGGCTAAAGGAATTCCAAGGAGAGAGGCCAAAGGAGGCTCCAGTGGTCAGAGAAGGCTTAACAGGGAGGCTGCTAGAGCTGTGCCCTGAAGGATGGGTGGGACCCATCAAGTACAATCAAGGGGGTATTTCCAGATGGGTAAAGGCACCTTGTCCATGGGTGGCGAAAACGGTATGCACTTATCTACCAATCTAAAGGCTGGCGGTTCAAACCCGCCTAGCAGTACCACAGAAGTAAGGCGCGGAGATCCGCTTACGTAAAGATTACAGCCAAGAAAGCCCTATGGAGCACAGTTGTACTCTGTAACACATGGGATGGCTGTGAGTCGGAAATGACTCGACAGGAACAGGTACAGAGGTACCTCGGGGGAAAGGTGTGAAGCAGAAACAGTCAAGGCATGGCCAGTGGGTTAATGCTACAAAGGATCCCATGATGAGATGCCAAGAAACACTGTAGGTAATGTCACTGAACTCTACATGTGAACATGGTTGAAATATTAAATGTTTTGTTACATATTATATATTTACCACAATAAAAAAAAATGTAAAAAAGCGAAGAGAGTCTATATGAAATCTGATACACTGAAATTACTCACTCTGGGAACAACATGAAATATAATTTTGGGTTAATATCTGAACATACGCAGCATTTCTACTGCCTGGATACAAATCCTGGATTCTTCATTAGTAGCTGTGTGACCTTAAGCCAGTTAATTAACCTCTCTGTAAAGATTTGTTTCGAGTTTTAACTGAGTTAATACTTGTAAAGTTCTTAGGAAGGTGCCTGCACACAGTATCATCTAAGTATGTGATCAATAAATCGTGTCATATTAACCTCTAGTCTCCAAATGTGACCAGAACGGATATGCCTTCTTCTCTCCTCTGATCATTTTTTTATTTGGAAAACAAAATAAAACAAAACTAGCAAGTATTCCAAAAATGAATGAACTTACTGCATTAATCCCCAAGGTTTCCAGTTTCTCCACCAAACTCTGCTCTAAAATTGCTCTGATTTCCTTAGTGAGGGAAGGATTATTCTTCAAGGCTTTCCTTAAATGTATCTTGTTGTTATTTAATTTCTGCTCATTCTCTCTTCCTGAAAAAGGGGAGAAAATGTGCTAAAAGTGAATTTTAAGAAATATATTTAAAGTCCTCTAAACTGATAATGATAAAATACAACTCTTAAATAGCAATAAGCATCTGTAACATTGGTAAGTTTTGGGACATTTTAGTCATTCAATACAATATACAGTGGTTAAGTATAATAGCTTTTTAAACTATCTTAAGTCTGATTTAAAACTTCACTGTTTTTACAGACTCTTTTTCATCATTTAACTGAGTTATAGCTATGTAAATAATGCACGAAATACATGCAACTATAGAAGCATAATGGAAAAAAAATTTATTTGGAAGTTTGTTTTATCACTAAAAATATTTCACTATTTCCTTAAGAACTCATCTCTCCTAAGTCCAGTTAGTATTTATGTATCATTTTATGCCGAAAAAGTCCAACTTATTTTAAATAATTTAAATTTTTTTAATAATAAATTTAGTAGACACTAAGTTCATATACAATTTCAAAATATGAAAATTGTTACTCTTCCAAAATATTTTACCAGAATGAAAAAAGAGTTCAAAGAAAGTCTTAAGAAAGGTTCATTTTGTTTAAAACAATGTGCATTTAAAAACAAAAAATAACAGGCCACATTCTCCTCACTTTTCCTTCTGTATTCCTCTTTTATTCCCCACCCAAAAATGTCTAGTTCAAGAGAGTTTAGAGAAGGGGAGTGACCTCGTGACCTTTGAAGAGCTGAGTCTTTTTGTCAAAGGGAACTGGGGGCTACAGTCTTCAGTATGGACACCCCAACATAAAGAAAAAAAAATCCTCACAACTGGACCGATAAGCAACATCATGATAAACAGAGAAAAGACTGAAGTTGGCAAGGACTACCTTTTACTTGGAGCCACAATCAACGCCATGGAAGCAGCAGTCAAGAAATCAATCAATGTACTGCATTGGGCAAATCTGCTGCAAAAGACCTCTTTAAAGTGTTCAAAAGCGAAGATGTCGCTTTGAGGACTAAGGGGCGCCTGACCCAAGCCATGGCATTTTCAATCACCTCATATGCATGTGAAAGCTGGAAAATGAATAAGGAAGACCAAACAAGAATTGATGCCTTTGAATTACGGTGTTGGTGAAGAATACTGAATATACCATGGACTGCCAGAAGAACAAACACATCTGTCTTGGAAGAAGTACAGCCAGAATGCTCCTTAAAAGTGAGGATGGTGAGACTTCATGTCATGTACTTCGGACATGTCATCAGGAGAGACCAGTCCCTAGAGAAGCGTATCATGCTTGGTAAAGTAGAGGGTCAGTGAAAAAGAGGAAGACCCTCAACAAGATGGACTGACACAGTGGCTGCAACAATGGGCTCAAAGATAGCAATGACTGTGAGGATGGCACAGGACCAGGCAGTGTTTGATTCTGTTGTACATAGGGTAGCTGTGAGTCAGAACAGACTCGATGGCACCTAACAACAATATTCAGGAAGAGTTGAGATCCTTAGTGAATGTCCAAATTCAGATCTGGCAGAAATGTGACAAATGAACTATCATTCTGGAGTCTAGTCTCTGAACTGGCATTTCACCCAACAAGGGTCACATCAAATGCCCTTCTCTGGGCCTCGGGCTGTCAGGGCAGCCCCAAGAGACTCCATTCTTCCACCACCTTATCGATCTTAGCAGATAGAATCTTTAGGTACCCCCGGCACCTTCAGATTTTCAGAAGATCTTGAACAAAAAATGCCTTTTGTGTAAGATGTTTTCTAAATACCACTTCAAGAATGTTTCTTTTTTTTTATTATTGTGATTTAAGTGAAAGTTTACAATTCAAGTTAGTCTCTCATACAAAAATTTCAAGAATATTTCTGTTGATTAATAATCAGTTTTACTGAAAGCAAAATTAGTTGTACTACTCTCTGTACATTAAAGAAGAAAAAAAAAAAAAATCCTCCATGAAGATGCTTTTCTGAATGTTACTAAACCAGAATTATAAAATTTTACATGGCTAAAAGTTGGAGGTGATTTTAAATTTTATATTCTCAGTATCCATACTGCTATTTTCCCACCAATGCTTTCAAATATTCTGAAATCACACAAAAAGCGCTCCTGTCCTAGGAACTAACAACACATCAAAATCTAGCGGACTTGGCTGCAGTCATGGCTCTTCTGTTGGTCGCAGCTCCCAGTCGGCCATCAGGTCTGCAACTATCCAGGGCGAAAAAGAAAAGAGAAAGCCTGGAAGTCAAGGAGCTACCATTTATACAGATGCAACCTCCCCACTTCCACTGCCTGACTGTGCACAGATATTTTTTAGGCAAGTATCTCAGACAGAAAAGAAACTGCTCAGAAGCACAGCCTAAAGAGAGGCTCCAGGCTCTCTGCTCTGGGACATGGGCCACACAAAGGGTTCAAGTGATGCCTAGGATGGCTTAGCCACAGCTGAGAAGAGTTATAAAGACTTTAGACAGCAGTTGTTGGGTTCATTTGCTTATCTGTCCAGGTTCCTGTTTAAACTGTCACTCCTGAGGTCAAGTTCATTTTCATGACCAAGTTCCCACAAATTATGGCAGATTAAGCATTTTCCTCTGTCCTCAAATTCACTTTATATTTTTGTACTTTCTTGGAAAGCCATTTATGAATAATTAGAAAACACTTTGTAAGACGGAGCCCTGGTGGCGCAGTGGTTAAGAGCTCAGCTGCTAACCAAAAGGTCAGCAGTCTGAATCCACCAGCGGCTCCCTGGAAACCCTACAGGGCAGTTCTCCTCTGTCCTATAGGGTCGCTATGAGTCAGAATTGACTCGACAGCAACAGTTTTTTGTGTTTGTTTGTTTTTTAATATAAGAAGGATTCCTACGAGGCTGGGGCTGCCCAGCTAAAGTGATAGAAAGACTATAGAGTGGACAGAAAATAAAAAAGAAATAGGGCTTTAATATAAAGGTAGAGTTAATCTCTTGAAAACCACCCATACTGGAAGATTTGAGTTAACACATACATTGTTCACCAAGATAAATAAGACAAAACTGTCTAGAGATCAGCATTTCCTCTAGTTAAAATGTTAAAAACATACCCAAGCAGATGGCCAGGCTAATGCACAAGAAGCTAGACATGTGGTCAGATATATCAGCCAAACAACATAGCATTATGGTAAGCGAGTAACTGTAGTGCAAAACAAGTATGAAAAGTAAAAAAAAAGAACTTGAGTTGGAAGGAACTTTATCTGTTATACAGGAATGAACCTCCTTTTTGACGTCAGGACTCTGAAGCCAGCAAGGTAAAGAGACTCCCCCAAAGGCCACCCAGCTAGCCCTGCAAAGCCCAAACCAACCCAGCTTTCCGTTCTTTCTTCTTTGCATGAAACTATGAGACGCAGAAAGCCTGGACTTAGTTCCGGCTCTGTCACTAATTAAACTCAATGACGTGAAACAAGTTCCTAACCCCCCTGGGTTTCAGGTTTCCAAAATATAAAATGGCCTCTAAGACCCGTTCTGGCCCTCACATTCTAATATCCTATAAAGCAGCAAGATCAAGTATGACTCAAATCTGTCAAAAAGCAAGTTTGCAGAAACAGTCACGAGTTACTTCTCGATAAGAACCACATTGTTTTTACAAAATTCAGCTTCATGGGCATTTATCTGCAAAATGTTAGCACAAGCTGAGGGATTTATTGATGGCAATTAATCTGCTGCCATGTGCTGGCTTCACAGAGGCATAAGGATGCAGTCCTGGTTTCTACCACGGTGCACAGATGCCCTGGGCGGTTTCCCTGGTCGGCAGCCCTCTCCTAAGCTCCCACCAGAGCTGTGTCTGACCACGTGGAGAGTGGCAAAGATTTTCTTTCTCAACCCAGCCCCTCAAATGTGGCAACGACCAACAACAGCATTTGCCAAACTCACATCTTACGCTGTGTGGGTAGAAGAACTCTAAATGAGGCGTGGGCAGAATGAGGTAGAGGGTGGAACTTGGAGGTGAAGGTGGAGAGACCACGTCAGATGATGGTGGCCAAACTGCTCCTCCTCTTGGAGCCCTGGTTGACTCGTTATTTTTAAATGAGTGTGGACTCTATAACCTGTGGCTCCAGCATTAAAATCACGTGACCCTTTCTATGGACCTCCTGACACATTACAGATTGCTCAAGGAATAAGAGATTTTATGTTCTGAAGATCAGTAAAGAATACATGTGTAGGAGACAGAAAGTATGGTACTCGTAAGTAAATGGATGCCATTATTCAAATCTTAAATAAGATTAAGATTTGTTCATCTTGTCTCCAGTAAGCCAACAAGGATGGTTGAAAATCATTTACAGACACTATTTTTAAGCACGATCACAATCTAGGTCAGGCAGTTAAACTGGGCAGAAGACAGAATACTGTATTGGGGGGGCGTCGTGGCAGCCCAAGAAGCTGACGTTTGCTTCTAAGGGGGGGGGGGTGGCTGCTACTCAGTCTTGCTGAATGTTGATGGATCTTCCAGTTTTTCAAAAGAAGTCAGAAATTCAGATATTTCACGTGAAGTATTCTCATTTTTAAATATTGGCAACTGATTATAAAATGTTGGCCAACGGTGGATAGCTCAAACAAATCACTTCTGTGGAATGGATTTAGCCTTCAGGCCTCAAGCGGGAGGCCTGGGCCACCTTTACGACTGCTGGAAGGAAGTAGTGGCTAATGACCCACCTGCTCCTTGTTTCTTGGACAGTGGAACAAGGGGAGCCTCACTTAAGAGCCCGACAATATCCTCTTGAAGTTATGCTCATCTAAATGCCCTCAAATTTCCATCAACAACTTTTTATGGCTTTATTATACTTTAATGTCTCTATACACATTCTTGTTTCAGAAAGAAATGGGTATTTAAATACTGGAACAGCAATTACAAAGAAATAAGAGCAGGAGAAATGGAGCAACTAAAATACTATCCAAAATCAGTGGCAATTATGAACAACTAGTTGAATAGGAAAATATGAAATCCTAAACTAAATAGTCTGACTAAAATAAAGAAAATCAAGACAAACTGCAAAGATACGTGCAAGCAA